TACATCCTTTGGCGTGATGGTGGACATCCAACTTGTGGCTTCTATTGTTTGTGTGGTATGAAACTGCATGTGTTCCATCCACCAGGCCATACATTACAAGTAAGAAACACATGTTTAAAAACCCTCTGTGCACATACTGCCCCCAACTGGTGACACAAATGCACTTACATTAACATTTTAATATTTGATTTTCACTTGCGCCAGGATGCAACTACTTGTTACCTCCCTAGCACCCACTGCATCACAATTTGTTCAGAAACCTTAGTGTTATAAGTAACATTCCCCCAAAACACCACACAACTTTTCCTATTATTTCCAATTAGTTAGTCATTCCTGATTCTGTTCCAACTCATCCTCTCTAGAAACTACCATGTGTGGGTCTGAGAGCCAGAATATAAATGCATGCAAAATGGTGGCAAAATCCATTTCTTAATACTCATATAACACTGACAACATTCAATAATCTCAAATAGTAACAAATGAACCACCTGCAACTCAGCAGACGGGTCCAAACTTTCCATCCGAACAGTAATGATTCTTGCTCAGCAGAAACCTTCCTAAAATTCTGTTCGGTGTAGATTTATGAGGTGCGAGAGGCCTCCGAGCTCCGGCAGACTCCAGCCTGCGACAGAGGCTCATACGGCTAACAGCGCTCTGCTGTCTTTATGATGATTAATGGCCTGCAGGGAAACAGAGGATCCAAACCAGGACAAAGAAGCACATACTGTATAGCCTGCACTTCTGAGACCTTCACAGACACTTGTGAGAAACTCTACAACATCTCAGTTAATGAGGGACAAATTAATGAGTGATTGTTAATGACTGAATTAAGCAAACTCCTCCACAGGTCAATAAATCACCATTTGAAACTGCTGCTCCGAAAAAGAAAAGAAAAAATAGCAGTAAATAAGCGGGTGAATCGCACAAAGAAAATGTCAGGGTCATTAAAAAAGAAAATGGAAATTATGCCTTTTTTAAGGAACATTCATATTTTTTATTAAGATATTATTTTGAGGACAACCACATTGTCACAGTCACTCAGTTTGGACATTGTTTACATTTGCACCTTTTTTCCCCCTGCCTCCTCTAATGGACCTTCTCTGGGCCAGCACCCTCTAACCTGGTCTTTTAGGGGCCTTTCCTCTTAGGGAAAATGAGAGGATGCTTAATTGCTTTTTAACTTACATCTTTGAAAGACAGATACAATGATTAATGCATCCATGGCCAGGATATAATTATAAAATATGACATGATTTTAAAAGTCAACTTTAATATCAACTATGCAATACACTTTAAATCATTTTGTGCTAATAAAATTATTAAGCCTACTTGCAGAGAGATGATTATTATGTGACAATATGTCAGTCATCGTGCGATAACAAAGATATGACTAGGTCTAGACTACTTGTTCTGAGCAGGCGTTGTGAGTGAACATCTAAATCTGTTGAAAACAGAAATACAAGAAGTGCAATTAGAGCGGATTGTATAATTCCACATAGGAAAACATTGTTTGGTCAATTTGGTGTTTTCTTGTTTTCTTATTCCACTGATGTGAAAGCTTCTTTACACTGATGTGTAAAACTCTTTGCTTAGTTACAGACACTCATGAAAAACTGTTGCTAATTATCTGGTAAACTGTAACGAAGCCCGAGACATGTTTGAATCCATTCGCAGCTTTATTAGAGGTAAGTCAGACAGGCAGGGGTCAGAAATCGGCAAAACAGGGTTATCACAGGACAGGCACAGAGGATGGTCAGATAACAGGCAGAGAATCAGGACAGGCAGCAAACAGCAAATATCCAAGGCAATCCGGGTCGGGGCAGGCAGCAGACTAACAAGAGTTATAGAACAGATCAGGGTCGGTACACAATACAGGCAGGCAGGGGAAAAACGCTCAGTCATTACAGCCGGGGCAATGCAATACTTCGCACTGAGTGAATGTTTGAGTGTGGCTTAAATAGGAAGTCCGATGAGGTTCAGGTGTGTGTGTAATCAGTCCCAGGGGTGGTGCATATTAGTGAATGAAGTTCTGCTAGAATCTAGTACTCTGGTGATGGCTCCCTCTGCTGGTTGAGAGGAGGCGGAGCGGGAGCCTGCTCCGTAACAGAGCCCCCCTCCTGCGAGCAGCTCCTGAGGCGAGAAGGTTGACGACGCTGGGGTCTTCCACGAGGTCGAGGGGCCGGTTTCTCCGGGTGGTTGCGGTGAAACTCTTCCGTGAGAGATGGGTCCAGAATATCACTGGCGTTGATCCAAGATTGTTCCTCCGGACCGTACCCCTCCCAGTCCACCAGATACTGGAGGACATTACCCCGGCGCCTGGAGTCCAGCACTTCGTGCACACGATACGCCTCCTCGCCGTCGATCAGGAGCGGTGCAGGATCTGGGGCTGTGACTCCCGCTTCCGACACTCCCCTCGGACCCACAGCAGGTTTCAGGAGGGATACATGGAAAGTAGGAGAGATACGGTAATCAGCAGGTAAATCCAGGCGAAAAGACACAGGGGTAACTTGTTTCACTATTTGAAATGGACCAACATACCTGGGACTGAGTTTACGGCAGGGGAGTCGAAGTCTCAGATCTCTAGTGGAAAGCCACACCCATTGACCAGCGCTGTACTGTGGGCTAGGGCGTCGATGACGATTGGCCTGTCGTTCTTGTCTTCGGACAGCATGGAGAAGATGTGTATGGGCCTGATTCCAGATCATCTCACTCTTGTGAAGCCATTCAGTTACAGAAGGTAATTCTGACGGTTCTCCGGACCAGGGAAACAAGGGAGGTTGAAAGCCGAGTATACACTTGAAAGGAGTTAATCCTGTAGCTGGTTTGACCAAGGAATTTTGCGCGTATTCTGCCCAAAACAAATATCTACTCCACTCTGATTGTTCCTTTTGACAATAAGCCCTTAAGAAACGTGTGATTTCTTGATTTAGGCGTTCAGTCTGACCGTTGGATTGAGGCTGGTATCCTGAAGTTAAGCTGATGTTTATGTTCAAATTTTTAAAAAATGCATTCCAAACCCACGAAGTGAACTGGGGGCCTCGATCGGAAACAATGTCTTCAGGTAGACCGTAAAAGAACATTTGATTGCAGAGAGTTTCGGCTGTTTCAAAGGCGGTGGGGAGTTTGGGTAGTGGTATGAGTCGGCAAGCCTTGGAGAATCTGTCAATTATAGTAAGTATGGTGGTGTGTCCCTGGGATTTGGGTAGATCGGTGATAAAGTCAATTGCGATATGCGACCAGGGGCGTTGGGGTGTGGGGAGTGGTGTTAATAGGCCGGCCGGTAGCTGTCTGGGTGTTTTGGACATGTTACAGTTGACACAATTCCTCACATGTTTAGAGGTATCAGATGATAGTGTTGGCCACCAAAAGCGGTTCTGGAGGATTTGGATTGTTGCTGTGATTCCTGGATGCCCGGAGCTGGGAGTTGAATGAACGTGATCGATGAGTCTGGTTCTGAGAGATTCTGGGACGTATAGTCGATTGTCGGGACATGCGGATGGGGTCTGAGTGTGGTGGTTAGCCTGTTGAATCTCTGTGATGATATCCCATTGGACGGGAGCCACCAGTAGATTGGGTTGGATGATATTTTCTGAAATAGGATTCTGAATGGTACCTTCAGCTTGACGTGAGAGTGCATCAGCCTTGACATTTCTGGACCCTGGGCGATATGTGACAGTGAACTGGAAGCGGGTGAAGAATAAAGCCCATCTTGCTTGACGAGGATTAAGATGTTTAGCAGACCGCAAATACTCTAGATTCTTGTGATCAGTGAAAATGATGAAGGGTTGTCTTGCTCCCTCCAGCCAATGGCGCCATTCCTCTAGTGCTAGTTTCATTGCCAGTAATTCTCTATTCCCCACATCATAATTCTGCTCAGCCGGTGAAAGTTTGCGGGAGAAAAAGGCGCATGGGTACATCTTTTCAGGATTGCCTTGTCGTTGAGATAACACTGCCCCTACACCAGTGCTGGATGCGTCAACCTCCACAATGAATTGTCTCTCTG